GATTGAGTTTGGGTTTGTTTGTTTTTTTTATTTGGTTATAGTATATTCCAAGCTCTAGGGTATTTTCTTCATGAGAAGTCATCATGTTAATAAGAGCCAAAACTTGTATTTGCTTTATGGGATTGTTTTTCTTTGGTTTGTGTTTTTTTGGGGGGGGGCATGCTCTTTTCACAACAGAGGGGAAAAAATATTCCAGTTGCTTTCCCATTGGAATAATAAGCAGTGAACATACAGGGATTTGGTAGTGCATTTTGAAGATGATAATGGAATTATTTTTTCCTTTTGTGGATATATGTGAATGTTTTGCTAGTTTTTTCCAAGTTGAAAAATACACAAAGCCCTTTTCTTTTTCTCTATATTATATTTAAATCTGTCCTAAAATATGATTGTTGAATTAGTGAAAACAGAATGCCTTCAGTCACGAATTATGATGTCATAAAATGGAATTGTCACTATCATGTTGGAACTGTTGAAAATAGTGTATTACTTCAGTTTTGCTTTTAATCAAGCAGGTGGCAAACAACTTGAGTATTGGGGACTTATTTATTTATTTCTATATCGTGTAAACGAGCTTATTTTCCTGCAGCCATTCCTGCATTTGTTACCTGCTTCTGCTCTGGTAGCCACACTGCGAAGCAGCTGCGGGTGATGCTCTTGCCAAGTTCCTAAATTCTTCAGGTTTCCCTTTTATTTTCTTGCAGCCTTGAACAAAGGGAAGGGAGTGCACAATGTTTGTAGCAATCTTCCTTTTCGTTTCAGGATCTTTCCTGTTAATTTGTCGATTCTAGCAGTTCTCAAGGCTGGCTCCATTTGAGTGCACTTACAAATACATACTCTGTGGCAGAATAACAGTACTTAAATACCTGATGGATTTTAAACTTTCGTAGAATTCTTAGTGTCTCAGGATGATTTAAATTCGTTGCACAAGTGGTGTCATAGGTAGCCTTTGCAGGTACAGGTCCAGTGAAATGAGATCTTTTGATTGTTCCTTCAAAAAAACCCATGTATGTGTACATGTAGGTGTGACAATGCTTTGCATCCATTTGTTCAACTTAAGGGCCAAATGCTTACCCATACAGAATAATACTTGTTCCTTTCTAAAGATGTTTGTGGAGAGGTTTGATTGGGGCAAAAAGTTTCTTGACCAAAACCAAAGTTGGGTAAATCAGGTTAAGATGTATCTGCTCTGGCTACTGGGAAGAACAAGAGGCATGTACTGACCAGTCTGTTCATCCTCCAGAGACTCGGATTTTGACTTTGGTGTTCCTGTCAAGGAAGTAAACCTTGGTTTTGGTTTCTGTTTCATTTTGTTAGAATGCACTAGAAGAATGTTTAAAATTCATAGTAAATGACCTTCACAGTTTAAGTTTGCATAAATGCAAGTGTTTTCCTCATAAAGTTGCAGATAGGTTAGGGATCGACTAAGAGGGTGTACTTAATGGTGTAGTTGAATTCCACTTACTGTTAACTTACAGTTAACTGTTACTTAAAGGGAAAGTTCTGTTTTGCAGTAAGATGGCTTAGCAGTATCTTCAAAGTGTGTTTTACGGTAAAGGGAAAATCTGCCTTGTTGCAAATTGATCTGAGTTGTGTGAAAGACTTGGGCACAGCTTTTTGTATCCTTGTTATATATAGTACTTCAGATACTTGTGATATATCTTTTCATGAGGATTTACTTAAAAAGGATCTGGGAAAATGTTAAGGGTCCCTGTATGCTTGGCTGTTTAAGAGCATGTAATTTATAATTTCCTTGAACATCTGTATAAAAAAAATCTGTTAGATTTGTTGATAAGGTATGTCAAGTACCCTATTAGACCTGTAGCGGTCTAATTCAAAAAATAAACTATCTTAACTTCCTCTCCAACAACTTTTGTGAGCTGCGTGTTGTGGTAGCAGTTTCCATATGCTCTAAATGGTGACTGAATTGTAGAAAACAAAGTGTTAATTTAAGAAAATTGTATAGTGTGAATATTCTCTTCAGCAGCTGCAGCAGGTGTTGGATATCTTCAGAAAACAGAAGGCCTATCTGCAGATTACTCTGTGACAGTAAAATTAGGGGCACCAGCAAAAATTGTGTTAAGATTTAACAAATTAAGAGATGAGATCAAGAAGTGGAGAGAAGCAAAGCACACAAAAAATGGATTATGTGTTAAAATGTTTGCAGATGGGAACAGGTTCAGCTCATGAGCCTGAATGTTGAAAATCAGTTCGTACACATAGAGCAATTTTAAGAAAATCGCTTTGGACTTGTGTGCCTTGTTTCTGATTCTAGGGATCATACTCTTTAGGTTGAGAGTTGGCTGATTCCAAGAGGTATTCCTAGTGGTGGGAATAAAATTAAAGGAGTAGCAGCTTTGATTAACTGTCAAAAAAATTCCAGTCTTTCCAGTGCAGTTTGCTAAGGCAAAACTTGCACCATTAATGAAAAATTTCTGCAGCAGCTCTTTGATGTAGAGGCAAATGCATGTCTCAGTCAAATGTCTTCAGAATATGGCTGAACTGCTACAGTTATAAATACATAATTTAAGTGGTTTTATTGCATCATTTTAATACCACGCATACACTTAATAGATTTAATAGAAATGTACCTGTTTTGCTGCAGTTCTGCAGCAGCATAGCTTTGTTTTTATGCATCAAAACTTGGTTTCTGAAAACAGCCATAAAATAAGGCTGTTCTGGACTTTGAAGTAGGTGAAAGCATGTGTAGTACATCTCAGGCTTGGGATACAGACTGAGACCGACTCATCTGGTTGCATACATGTCCACTGAATACAGCAAAACCTATCTTATTATGGCTTTCATAGAATCATAGAATGACCTAGGCTGGAAGGGACCCTAGAGATCATCTAATCGAACCTCCCTGTTGTGGGCAGGGACGCCTCTCAACTAGATTTTTATTTATTTATTGTTTTTTTTAATAAAACTAGCATAGCAAGGTAAAAGTGGCAAGGTAAAATAGAGATTAGATCAGTGATTAGGATTCTACATGGGTGTTTTTTAACTATTTCTTAACATTCCCTAATTTTATTTTTGACATTTCTCATTTTGATTATTAATACAAATGTACACAGAGTAAATCATAAATATGGGCAAGACTACTAATTTAATATTCAGACTTACATGATAGATTGGTCTTTTATTTCCCCTTTCAAATTTCCAATGTTAATAAAATGATTTAACGAAGCTTGTAATTTCAGATTAAGGTCTTTGATTACTGTAATGTATTAAAATCAAGCAGTTTGTAATTGCAACCAAATTTGAAGCATAGTCAAACCACGAGTTGTTAGAAGCCATGGATTAACCAGAAGGAATTAGAATTTATTGAAAGTCTGTCAAGCTTTGGAGAATTGTGAAGTCTTCTGCTGGTGCAAAGGACCAGCAGAAAGTCCCCAGCAGTGCTACAGGCTTCGGGAGGAGTGGCTGGAGAGCTGCCAGGCAGAGAGGGACCTGGGGGTGTTGATGGACAGCCGGCTGAACATGAGCCAGCAGTGTGCCCAGGTGGCCAAGAAGGCCAGTGGCATCCTGGCCTGTGTCAGGAACCGTGTACCGAGCAGAAGTAGGGAAGGGACCATCCTCCTGTACTCAGGGCTGATGGACAAGAAGGAGCAAATCCAGAGAAAGGCAACAAAGCTGGTGAAGGATCTAAAGCACGGGTCTTAGGAGGAGTGGCAGAAAGAACTGGAATCCATAGGAATGGAGAAGTGGATGCTGAGGGGAGATCTTGACACTCTCTCCAGTTGCTTGAAAGGAGATTGTAGATAGGTGGGGGTTGGTCTCTTCTCCCAAGTAACAAGTGATAGGATGAGAGGAAATGGGCCCAAGTTGCGCCAGGAGAAGTTTAGATTGGATATGAGGAAGAATTTCTCTGCTGAAAGGGTTGTCAGGCACTGGAATGGCTTGCACAGGGCAGTGGTGGAGTCCCCATCCCTGCGGGTATTTAAGCGTTGTGTAGATGTAGGGTTTAGGCATATGGTTTAATTGAGGACTTGTCGGTGTTAGATTAAGGATTGGACTCTTCAAGGTCTTTTTCAGTCTAGGCAATTCTATGATTCTCTGACTTCGCTCCCATTTAATTTTATTCTGCAACGTAATTTTAATGACCAGGTATGGCTAGTACATTCAAAATCAAGAAACTGTAAGTTCAGAAAGTTGGGAAACTGATTTTATTTATTTATTTACTCACTCATTCCCAAGTGTGAATAGGGTCATGAGGTAAGAATATAGGTTAAAGATCACGACCATTATGATGAATAGAAGGTATCAGTTCAGGTCATTAAAAATGTGTGTTTGCAACCATAGAGCATACTTTGCACGTGCTGCTTAAAAACTTACAGGACAACTTTTCTCAAAGTAAAATTCTTTCGTAGTTGGATTTATATTTCTAACTTTAACTTAGTCTACAGTCATTATGTAACAAGTAGAAGGTAGTAAACTGCTTTTTATGGCATGATGAAGATATGTGAAAAGAATCAGATCATAGGAGATACATGCTAAGATATATAAATTACCTACGCAAACATGTTGGGTGGTGTATTCTGCAGCTTAGCAAAAACTAATGAAATACCCAGTAGAATGAAATGTGAATTATTCAGAAAAAAATTTACCGCAGAATGAGAATAGAATCAGGAAGATTTTTCTTGCAGGTTGGAAAGAGTAAATCAATCCTCCGTTTCACTGATTTTTAAATTAAAAATTGTCATATATGTTAGAAGTTTGTTTTGTGTTTGGGAAATTGAATTTTTCTGGAGTCTGCAAATAAACCAGAGAAAACTTTTATTGTTCATTTGCTGTCAATTTGTGTTTGAACTGGTGAACTTTCAAATATGTTCTGTCTTAAGAATTGCATTTCTTCTTTAAAGTAGTGCTAACTACATTATTGAAAGTGTTTGTAGACTTCTTGCATCCCAGACTAACAAGAAACGTTATTTCTCGGAAAATGTATTATTTACTTTAGTTAACTACAGAATTTTGAAAACCTTGTATTTCTTTTTCCCAGGCTGTTCGCTGCTATGAATCGCTAATTTTGAAAGCTGAAGGAAAGGTCGAGTCTGATTTCTTTTGTCAGTTAGGTCACTTCAACCTCTTATTGGAAGATTATCCAAAAGGTAAGGTTTTTTTTAGTACTTGTGATAAATGTCATTGGGGGATTGGTATTCACTGTAGGTGACACAATAGAATGAATGACATAGTGTAACTCACTGTTTTCTTGGCTTGTACTCTATTTCAAATTTCATGACAGAATAAGACATCAGTCTTATTTATGCCTTTAAAAAACCAGTTGTATTCTAAACAAAACACTACTGGTATGGGTATGAATACGAAGTTTTTTCAGTTTATATACAGCAGTACTGGAGTGCCTGCTTCAGTTTTCTAATTCATTATTACCTGACTAAAGGTTTCCTGTGAGGGGGTTGGAGACTTGGGGGCATAGGACAGGAACCTGTGTTAATGCTTTCACATATGTCCGCGGTCTGAACAGGTGAGACTGGGCTGACAGTGTTAATTCAAAAGCAAAAATCTGCGCTTAAGGTTTGTTTCAAGTTCTGCTCTTAATACTGAGTGAAAGATTGGGTGTGGAGGTTTGAGTGGAGTGGGTGGGTGTGGGTTTGTTTTTTGATTTATTTATTTTTTTTCGGTCTTTGAAATCAATCTTGGAAATTACGTAGATGTTTTTTGCCAGCATTGCTGCCAGTGAACATAGGACCTTATGTACACTCATGCTTTGTTGCTCGTGGGTGGGTAGAATGCTTTTTTGGTAGTGGTGTGGATTCCCACAGATAGTCTGCTGTGTTGCTGACTGAGACATAGGGCTAGATCTTCAGTTTGTCCCCCTTCCACTTCATGTTGCACTGGGTGTCAGGCCCAGTTTCTGACAGCTGCCTCCCTTCCAGTCATAGTGAGAGGTATGAGTAGAAAGCCTTTTTTGGATCTTATTCTACCTAGCCAATTAGAACAGGTCAGAACATTTAATTTTTTTGGTGGGATATATTTTTTCATTATTGTTGCTTTTTAGTTTTGCTTTGTATAAGGAGAAAGCAACACACCCCAAAAATGTCTACTCCCACCCCATGCCTTTTTCCAAACACACAAAAGTACTGGTTTATAGTTACCTTGAGATGTAGAAATAGGGAAATGAGTTATAACTGATAGTAGTTCGAAAGCACTGCTGAGTAACTCAGGCCAGCTGTGGACTGTTTCCTAACCGTGTGTCCACTTGTTCACTATGTTTGACATAAAAAACAATGTATATTAGGGTTCGTGGAGCCGTCGTTTTTTAGGTGACAAATGTGTAGATTTGATAGTCCTGGAGAGGAATTTGCAGTTATTTAAATTCAACTTGTAAATTTAGTCTCTTTGTGTTGAATATATGAGGAGCCTAGGGACCTCAGTACCCACAACTTGTACCTACATCCCTCCAACTGGTGTAATGTAACCGCTGGGATTTTCAGTTCCAGAGACTTGGGAAAAACTGAAGGGAGCATAGCAAGGTGCTGGCTGTAGAATTTACTGAAGAATGGTCTGATCCCATGTGTTTTTTTGTTGTTTTGGTTTTTTCTAATGAGAATTCAACCACCCCCTCTGCAAACAACTTAGAGTGCTGTTTCTGATTAGCCTCATATAACCTGATATGAAGTGAGTGCAGTATGGCTTATTGGATATATTTTACTTGGCAAAGACAGTGCAGGATTGTGGGCTGAACTGTATTAACTGCTATTGAGTTGATGACAGGTAAGAGTGATGGGACTAGGTGTTGCTATGGATCAGAAACGAGGTTTGCTGATGGGGAGTCTGCTTTGTTCTGTGTATACAGTTTTAAGAAGAAGCATAAAAAATACAAATGATGGTTGAAAATCCCAGTTCTGCAGAATTGTAAACAAGCATGAGCAGGCTGTGTGGGAAGAAACATTTAGACATTAAAAACCTGAATTAAAATACTTAGCATTTTCTTAGATGCCAGTTTAAAGTCACATCTTAATCATGACAAGTGTCTCAAGAAGTAAGAGAAAACTTTGTTAGTAACGAAGTATTAAAAAAAGAAGTGTATTTTCAAAGAAATGGGGTAGTAGTGAAAATAATACTGGAGGGTTTTTAATTGATGGAGAAAAGGAGGCTAAAGGTTTTTTTATTATCGAGGGGCACATGTTCTACGTCTATAAGTATTATTCACAATGCAAAAGTCATAAAAGTTCTATAATTAATTTACTCCTGTCAGTTGACAGAAGTAGAATATATTTGTGTGTTGCATGAGAAAGAAAAAAAAATTATAGCATTCTATAAATTCTGTTACTTTATTATACATTCTGATTGTTTAAATGCTTGGGAACTGAAAAGGAAGTTCAGGAATGTTTTAATCTTGCTAATGTATATTTTATCCAGCTTTTAAGTCCTGAAGTTTGAGAAGCGTAAAATACTAAAGCGGGATGATCTTCAGAACTGTAAATCTGTCTAGTCTGAAGTTAGTCTTGGACAAAATTGTGGAGTTGATGTATTTAATCAATTGGATGTAACTTATATCTCAAGATAATAGCATGACTAATGCTGAACAACTTTTTTCCTTGGAAGTGTATTATTTATTCAATTAACTGTCTTTAATATGTAATGTGGAAAGGCGCGGGTTTTTTTCATTAAAGGGAAATGGAATGGTGTTCTTTGTTTAAAAATGTTCACAGTGTGGTTTGTGGGAAGTAGAACAAAGTCCTTAGTTGATTGCAGGAGTCCAAACAGTGATCAAGGTGAAGCAAAACTTGATTAATACGGATCTGTTTGGTTTCAGGTGTGTAATTTCTTCCGGTTTGATCTGTGCCATTTTTTCACAGATATGTTGACAAACGTGGATCATTAGCTTAGGTCTGTTTGGCAGGGAGCTTGGAACTAGGTGATCTTTGAGGTCCCTTCCAACCCAAATCATTCTATGATTCTATTTTCCTGTAGCTAATGCCTTCTTACGAATGTTGTAGAAAAGATTGTAGGTCATTTCTTCATAAGAATTAGACCCCAGAAAAGAGAGACCTTGGGAAAGATTCATGGCAGGTTATTCTATGTCATTATTGGAGCTAACCAGGCAGATACTTCCCTTGCTGCTTGTACATGGGGATTATCAGCTAGAGGCAGGTACCTTTGAATGTGGAGTAAGTTGATGGCTGATACCTTGCTGAAGTCTAAATACATCTAGCATATATTTATTTGTGTATATATATATAAACACACACAACATATACGAATACATCTAGCATATATATTTGTATTCTAAATGAAACTTGATAAATGTTGTTATGGTTTCTCTTGAAATGCATTGTTTTCTGTCCCTTGTAGCCACTGAAGTCCAGATTTAATATGCTTTTATTCACAAAAAGAAATTCTTGTTTCCAGCAAAAGTTGTGAGCTTACATCAGAAATTACTGGTTGAGATTCCTTCGTCTCTTGGGGTTTGACTAGATGATCTTTCAAGGTCCCTTCCAACCCCTAACAGTCTGATTGCTAACAGTCTGTGATTCTGCATTCTGTATCTGAGGTTAAACTAGAGAATCACAGTGGTTTTTTCATAGTCTTTAAAATATTCAAAGCTGGTCTGCAGGATGTAGTTTTCCCAAAATGAAGTATGTTAGAGTCTTTGTTGTTAGCTACAGGGCTTTCTCTGCAGCTGTGAAATTGAGTTGCCTTGTTAATTGTGCTGTGATACTCTTAGGAGAAGGTCCTAAGCAAGGTATCGGCCTTTTTGCAGATTTTGAATACTATGAGCTGCTGATTTGTATTCAGATATTTATGACCAAGGCAGGTTGATTCAGTTTAGCAAACACCTTCAAGGAGCCCAACTTCCATCGTCTTGATCATCACTGGTCAGAATTTGGCTTCAGCATTTCTCCAAATGAGAACGTTTACTCCTCCCAGTCAAAACTATCGTTTCCTCAGTAGCATTTTCATAACTGTAATCTGATTTCTTCCTCTGTTTTTTGAAATGAAGCAGCTCTTCCCCAGCTGTTGGATTGTTTCAGAGGTTTCCAAACCGGTTATTCCCTGGACATGTCTTTAGTGGCACCCACCGTGTCTGCTTGTTGCTGCTCTCTACTTTATGCTGGCACAGCTGAACGCGCAGCTGTCTGGGGAACCAATCCAACTGAAAAATAACCTAGCAGAAAAAAGTGATGCAGTTGCCCCAGAATGTGAAACCTCAGCCTCGAGTTTTGCCGGAGGAGGTTGATGAGTTCTTATGCAGACTTTTGGACGATGTTGGCGTTGTGAATCCAGTTGGGACTCCGTGGTATATACCTGTGAACTTTGTTTACTACTGTGTTCCTTGGGAGGACTGGGATTTTACCAGAATTATTGTGCTGCTAGTCTTAGAGGAGGAAATGGGTGCTACATCAATAGTTGGAGATTTGTTTATTTTTTTTTTCCCAATGACTCTGGTTTTCATAAGGAATATAGAGTGTAGACAGTGATCTTTAAGGTTTGGGTTCTAGTTGAATGCTGTTTAATGAGCTCATGGACTCTGACATCATCAGTGTTTTCCTTAGGGATCTTTATATCTGTGTTGTGGTTGTGTTCCAGCCTGTGACTTGGAGGACAGATAACAGCTGTACAAGTGGAGACATACTTTATAATTTGCCCCCTTGAATTGTTATTCTTGAAGCAAAATTCCTGGAAGTAGAAGTAGATAATGCAGTTAATGAATGATTTGGCAAAAACATGCAATTATTCACATCACTGTTACTAAAGCACAATAACTACTGCACTAAAACAATTCTTGCTGCTGTACTCAAGTTGTGATCACATATTTTATGTACTGTGTCAGAACAGTTTTAATAATACTTACTTTGTACATAGTGGCTACATTGTCAAAAATATTAATATTAAAGTATTTCAGGTAATTGATAAGAGTGTTAATTAGTCCAAGGGCATATTTTAGCAATTGTTAGGCTACAATTTAAAACAAAACTAGAAAAGAAATACAGAATGTTTACTGACATGCTCATTTATTAAGTTACAGACTAAAACCAAAATTTAAATGCTTTTTGATTGTTATTGTATAAAGTTATTTGGTTGCGAGAACGACTCTCAGATTCAGCAATGCATGTGTGTTCCTTTGTACTCAAAATTGCAGCTC